CGAAATCTCATTCGGAACTGTACAAATTATAGTATCGACATAAAACTTCAGATTAAATGTATTTTTTGCAGATTAATTAAGTAAAGTGTAAATTCACTTGGACATATGAAAGAATAAGTACGTTAGATGTATATATATATATACACGTAAGATGATCTATTTCACAAATAATATGCTATACAAATAGGTAGTAGTCTATTTAAAATTCTTCGTGTCCCCTTTCCTTAAGCCTGCAATAGAAATTTAATTTGCAGTTACAAATTGTTTAAGGACGATAGACGCGGTGAAAATCTAATTCAACACGCGAACACCCAACAAATTATTTCGCCTGTGTCACATTTCGGACCATTCTTATAATTCAATAAGTGTAATGCGCACAATTAATTGTATAAAGAAAATGCGATTACGAAACTATTGACAACTGTCTTCCTACGTAAAATGATTTCAAAAAATTGGTAAACAATATTACTAGGAAGAGGAAAGGGGATACGATGCTCGCTCGAAAATGCACCGGAATTCAATTTATCGAATTCGGTTTGTTTCTTGATCGTCGTGATCTATTATTTACATTGACGAATAATTTTTCCTTAGCTGTTTTATTTTGATTTAGTCCTTCAAAGGAAAATAGACGAGCCTTCGATCGAGTTTAAGTTCCGTTTACTTCGTGGTGAGATAGAAGGAGTTCCGGTGCATTAGGATTAAACAGTTCTTTGTAATAATTTTTTATTCAGTTTTAGCATCGATTATTAAACGATCGCCAATTTTTTTATAAACTATTATTTATTGTCAGTCACTACAACTTGTTTTCAATATCATCCTGTTTCGTTTCGAAATTCTGCTCATTGCATTTATTGTAAGTAGACTCTCCTTCAAGAAACAAATGCAAATGCAATTTTCTATGGATTTATTTGACTAGTTTCATCATTTTGTTTTACGATACACGACAGCGACGAGGTACTCGATTCAACCGTCCATGAGAGATGTCAGATTTCATATAAAAAAAAAAAGAGAAAAAAACGAAAAGCTCGACGCTATAGAAAGGTACGGTGAATACCTATATAATTATTATAATAACTACGACTTGTAAATAAAAGAATGAGAACACATCTTTCCAATTAAGCGTAACGTTTCGTTTATTATTTCATTTATAGGAGTACATACTACCGACGAACAATATACATATATTTTGTTTACAATAAAACAGAAAGGTACGCGTATAAACTATATATATATATCGCATCTTAGAAGAATATTTTAAGAGACGCACATAGGATAAGGAAACATTTCTCTCGTTAATTCGAACTCGCGCGTGTCTAGATTCTTAGTTTAAAAGTTTACTTGTTATACCAAAGAGAAAAAGTAAAGTAATCATTCGTTCTTCATACAAACGTATGTATACGTGCGTACGCATTTTGGAAAAGCATCGTTTTCGGGGATGCATCAATTGTTTTAATATAATCGTTTCGATCGATTTTCGCATAGCGTACTTAATTATACGTACGCGCATAGGATTTACCGTTAAACATCGCATCCTACTAATTGTTAAATTTTAACTACCCACCTACCTATTACGCGAACTGCTACAGGATGCGATGCCGCGATACCGTTACGATTTTCGAATTAACGAGATTGGGACAGCCTACGTAAATGTACATGTGTATATGTGTATACGTTTATTCAATTCGCGCGCGTATATAATACGTGTACGCCGCGACATGCGCCGCGATTACAGGAAACTACGTATATAAAGAGATGTATATTAGAATCTTTAGACTGCAGATTTTTATGCATTTATTTATTTATTGGGACGGGAAACGTGCGATGTACGATATTTAGAAAGTGATACATAAATTCCTATTTATATATAGATCCCTTTAGAAACGATTTCGTTCTGCACAAAAGTCCGTAGTCTAAACGTCGAACTTTAACTGGATCATGTAATAAAGTGGTTCGTTTGTTTTGATCGTTCAACTGATAGAGCAGGAACAGAAGTTGGCCCAATTCAACGAAACAATTCTCCATTGTCAAAGACCGATTTGGAATTTGATTACGACTACTAGATATATATAAATATTTTTTATAACTTTTTGTTTGACGCATGAAAAGAAAAATTTCACGAGCTGTGATCTGTATATCTTCATTGATCCCTTCCTTGAATTAATAACAACTTCATTCTTCTTCTATCGAAACGAATGAATCATTTTTTATGTGAAGGTACGAAGTCATTTATGAGATCAGGGTATGGGTGTTTCATGAAATATATTTATTATATCGTGTACTATATATAAATACATAATATAGTACATATGTATATTATTATTTTATATACAGGTCGTTCCGCGAGTGATGGACCATTTTAACGAATGGTAAAAAGAAACTGTTATATGAAATATGAAATTTAACTATA